ACTCAATCCACAATAAAAAACCTTAATATATATATATAGTAGAACTTTGACCAAAAGACTGAGTTCAAGTTTGATGGGAGGAATGAAGTTGGAGTGTCATATAGGAACTGTCACTTATTTTTAGTAGTAGAGTGAATGACTGAGAAGACTGTTGAATGTGAGGATGGAGAACTCCAATATATTGCTCTTTACTCCTAAAGATGGATTTTTCAAGAAGCTAATGAAGACTGAAATCCAAGAACCCTCACTTTCAATGGCTCCTTCGATGACTTTTCCAGGAAGAAGTCCTGGTCATGTTCTCACAAGGTGGGAAGGTTTCGAAAATTTTGCAACAGTAAGGTATTTTGGCTGCAACTGGTTAAGATGTGTCTTCCTACCCCAATTATTCCTCCCATGACACTTACCCTAATATCAGGAGGTATTGGAGTGGTCAGGGACTTGTTTAGGGTTGAGCTAAGGGAACTTTTAATCAGCTAATGAGTTATTTACTAGCCCAGTGAAGACATAGTTTCCAGGAAACTGTCTATCAACCACTGTATGATTTTTCTAGTACTGAGACAGAGATTGCAGGACAAGAAGGTATACTGCAACATGAATGTATCTTGTGCCTTTTTTACTAGAAACATGGGTAGCAGAAGAGAAACAATGCTGGGCTTGAAGGAGCCAAAAGCTAGTCTGTGGAAGGCTTGTGAGGATCAGATGTGTGAAGCTGTAAGCCAAGATATCAATTCACACCAACTTCTAGTCAAATAGAAATTCTCTCCCATAAGAACTGCACTCAGTAATGTAGAATATATCATTATAAGTACACATTTTTTCCCTTTTTTATTGGACTCACATGAAACGAAAATTGATTGGAATCACTGTTTGTAGAATTCATACTCACAGCAGAACTCCAAAAAGCACATCCTTCAGCTGTGTGGCTTCTCGTGTTTTATACATACTGCATATACATTACTGTTAAGGAACAAATTCTGATCAGCCATGCTGGACAAAAGACTGAATGATCTTTCTTTTCTCTGTATAGAAAATAGTTTTACAAAGTTATTGCCATGTGAAGAAGTGAATGAAAGGAATGAAGAGGGAGAAATGCATTGTGTTATGAAGGTAATTAAGGGAAAATGAACAGTTTTTCTGCATTTTGAGATGCTTAACATATGTTTGTCAGATTTTTGAACTATTTAATTGGTTGTGATTTCTTTTCTTATTCTAAATAAACGTGTGTGTTAAAATTTAATTCTGTATGCATGCTTTTTGAGTTCCTTTTCTTAAATTGTATAAGTTTATGTCTCTCCTAGTCTAAATGCACCCCTGATTACCCCTGCATTTCCCAAACATAGTTCTGTTTCCTCAGTATTTATTTATTAGGACTGAAACCCATTGAGACAGGGCAGATGCAAGCCTGCCAAAAGGCAAGGAGATGAAAAAGACACTCTTGTATGCTCCCTTGATATTTAGCATGCTTCTTGTTGTTGCTAAGTGCCCTTGAGTCAATTATGACTCATAGTGGCCCCTATAGAGGGTCTCCAAGGAGCACCTAGTAGGTTTGAATCGTCAACTTTGCAGTTAGCAGTCCAGGGCTTATCACAAAGCACCATACCAGGACTCTGTTTAGCAGGCTATGATTCCTTAACCACCATATCTGCTTGACGTTTCCTGTTTGTCCTCCCCTCCAACCTCTGTGAGCCGGAAGTGATTCAAAGGCACTTAACAACAACAACAACCACCACCCACCACTTTTCCTTTTACTGATATTTTCCCTTTCTATCCTGTATCCTCTCCCACATCCACTCTGGGTCTCATTCTCTTATTCTCCTTACAAATCTGAGAGAAAACTCTACATAAAAACCTTGTGAAGGAAGCAGATGAGAAAAGCCAAGCTCTGAGAACAAGGTCAGTAGCCACTTAGTGCCAATGGGCAATGCAAGGCACATAGTCAACAGAGTACTTCTACAAGGGTCACTTACAAGACAGTTTTATTAAAACTGTTGGAGATCTTAGATTTTATTGAATCCAACCTTTTAGGAGTCCTGGTGTGGCACTGTAGGATAAACACTGGAATGCTAACCACAAGGTTGGCAGTTCAAATCTACCAACTGCTCTTTAGAAACCCTACATAAGGTGGCTGTGAATTGGAACTGACTGGATGGCACTTGGCAATAACCAACCATTAAATGATGTTGTTGTTGTTAATTATCTTCTAGGCAGCCTTGACTAATGGCCACCACACCTCAGCAGCCTGTAAGCGAACAAATAAATTCTAAAAGGGCAGCAGTAACACCAGGAATTGTCTGTTTAGCTCACACTTCTGTGCCATTCCAGTAGCAGAGAAAAAAGCCCTAACTTTGAGATCTTCGTCCTGGTGTATAGTCCTGTAGGATCAGCACTGAACTGCTAACCATAAAGTCTGCTGTTCAAACCCAGTAGCTGCTCCTCAAAAACCCTACACAGGGTTGCTATGAGTTGGAACTGACTCGATGGCACTTAATAACAACAACAACTGTGAGCTCTTAGCCCCCAGGGTCCAGGTCACAGTATCAGAGGGTTGAGGCCGGTCCAATCTCCGGGTTTTCCACTAGTATCTTTTAACCTCTCTGAAAAGTACCTGTCTTGCAGTTCCTTTGCCTGGGCTAGTTCAAAGGCCGACCTCCTACTAGCGTTACATTGTTGTTGTGTTCTGTCAAGTCAATGTCCTATAGCATGTGATAGAGTAGAACCACGCCTTCAGGTTTTCTAGGCTGTAGATGGAGTCTGCATGTGACACTATAGGATCATCATTCCTTTGCTAACCACAAGGTCAATGGTCCAAACCAACCAGACTTTCCTTGGAAACCCTATACAGAATTTCTTCAAGTAGGAACCGGCTCAACGGCACTTAACAATAACAACAGCCTTTACAAAATCCGATTGCCATACCTTTTTCCCATGGAGCCACTAGGTGGGTTACAGCTGCCAACTTTTCCATTATAAGTGGGGTGCTTACCCATTTGCAGCATGGTCTTCTTGGGTTTATATTGTTGTTGTCAGTGTTAGGTCCCTTTGAGTGGGTTCTCACATAACAGCAACCCTGCAGAGTACAACTGAATGAAACACTGTTCTGTCCTGAGCACATTGTTTCTGTCACTGTGACTTTACATTACTCTCCTTAATTGCTCCAAGATCACCATAACAACAAGAGTAAATAACAGAGGAGTGTTGTTGTTGTTGTTGTTAAGTGCCATAAAGTCAGTTCCCACTCCTAGCCACTCTGTATAGGGTTTCCCAGGAGAAGAAATTTGGAAACCACCAATTTGTCAGGCTACTTCTTCTTCAAAATCCTGAGGGATTTTGTAAAGGCAGAGACAGAACCAGAACTAAGGAAAACTGGAGGGCAAGGTGTGGCTGGGCAGTATGACTGAATGAGGGCCTGTAGTTTCTGTGTGATGCCTTTTCATCTTTTTTTTCTGGGCCCTCTCCTACCCTCACCAGTCCTCAGGAATTGCTGTGTGGGGCCTCAGAGTGGGCTACAAAGAGAATTTGGCAACTGGTAAATCTGTCTTCGAGGATCTCACGGGCAGCAGCGTGGGTGCTGTCCACCTGGCCAATCTCCCACCTCCACAGGCTTCCGGAAGGCTTGTGCAGTCCAATTTCAGGATGAGTGCCAATCCCCAACCCTCTACCAGTACACATATTGCCCCATTCTGGAAGAGGGTAAGAAGGAAGACCAGAGGAAAAGAGAAGTCCTGTAAATAGCCTGCCTTCTCTGGGAAGTTTTCCCCTGCTCCTCAACCCCCCCACTCACTCCTCTAGAACATTTATCAGACCACCCAACTTCATTCCCATAGCATGTATACCTAGTTACACTTTCATATCATCAGATCTTGTCTTGACAGCACCAAGGTCCTCTGATGGCAAATGCAATGCACTATGATGCATTATGAAGTTCTGGTGTGGTGCTGTAGGATAAGCTCTGGATGGAAAGGTAGACAGTTCAAATCCACCAGATGCTCCTTGGAAACCCTCTACAGGGTGGCTATGAGTCAAAACTGATTTGAAAGCACTTAACGACAACAGTAACAATGATGTATCATGTATCTCTGTGCATGACGTGCCTTTACACCTAGAACAGTCTTGAGGATCAAGAACGTTTTGCTGACCAGTTCATCACTTGGGGCAATAGCACTGAGACTGGATATTGTGTCTGGAGCCCTGAGTCTGAAAGTCCATGTACGGCGTTTATTTGATATCCCCCAAAAGCAAGGGATTCTATTGATTGCTATCATTCAAGTAATATGGGTAAGTTGACTGCAAGGTCAGCAGTTCAAACTCACCAGTCACTCCATAGGAAAAAGATGAAGCTTTCTGCTCTTGTAGATTTTCAGCCTATACAGGGGTGCTATGAGTCAGAATCAACTTAAGGACAGTGAGTTTGTTTGTTTGGTTGGTTGGTTTTTGTGATATGGACATGGAAGCTATCTTGTTGCTGCCAGCTGCTGTAGAATCCGTCCTCAACTCATGGTACCCAATGAATAAAATGCTGCCTGGTCCTGCTCCATTCCCAAGATTAGTTGGGGATCAGCTCATTGTGATCCATCAAATTTTCTTTAACTGATATGCAGAAGTACATTGCCAGCCCTTTTTTTCCCTAGTCTGTCTTAGTTTGGAAGCTCTGCTGAAATCTAGTCGGCATCATAACAATATGCCACAGGTAATAGTGAGCACAAGGCACATTGACCGGAAACAAATCTAGGTCTTCCCCATAAACAAGTATTCCACTACTGAAGTATCACTTTCTCAGAAGGATATCATCTACGGCACAGAAAATCATGTAAGTATCTCTCAGATCCAAGGGCTTTTTTATTCACCCTCCATGACACTGATATCTCTCTAGGATGACCCAAACAGAAAGTTGTGAGAGAGTCTTCTAACCAACAACAAAACCAACATGGAAAACTCTGTTCCTCCACAGGAACCACTGTCCTTCTTTTGGCGATGTGTGGGCGTTATCTGTGTCTGTCTTTAGCATCGGGGGAGCCCTACCCTGAGAAGGGAGAATGACAAGATCATTATTCTAAAGGCAGCATGAGCTAGTGCAGCCACCTCAGACTGGGGAACGTACAACTTTACCTGACAATTGTTGGGAGAAGACACTGATGGTGTAGGCAGAGGAATTGATAGTTTTCAGGAAAGTTGTTCTTATTCCACGTCTCTTTCTCCCCTTTAAGGAAGATGTCTCACTCAAGTGTTAATATCTCATTAACACAACTCAAACCTTGCCTTCCGTTTCCACCAAAAGAAACTTGACCTTGGGTTGAGAATCCTCAGCAGGTCCTAATATCTGGCTTGTTTAAGAATGTTGTTTTGTTTTCATTATATTGCTTTTGATCTCTTTATATTTAAGGCTGAGGCCCTGCATGGTGTCTATGATTAATCCTCTGGGCTGTTAATTCAGCCAAAATGTTGGAGCTTCCAGTACACCTAGAGGTTCAAGGTATAATGAAAGAAAGGCCTGGAAATGCACTTCTAAAGATTCAGTTGTTGAAAACTCTATGGAATACAGTTCTCCTCTCACATGTATTGGATCACCACCAGAGTTAACTCCGTGACAGCTGATTGGTTTTATAGGGAAAGTCCTAAGTAATGCTGCTTTTCCATTGGCATTAGGTAATAAACTTTCCTTTAAAACTTACTACATTTAATTAAAAATGGATCTAGTTAAGGAAAAAATATTAAATAGTAAAACAGCTGTTCGCAGTTATGCCAAAAATAATGAAGTTGCTTGTTAATGGCCAAAGGGTAAGAACCATTGGGATAGTGAACAGGTACATGGAGTTAGAAGTCCCCAGTTCCCATTCTTGTTCTGATACTTTCTAGTGTGTGCCCTTGAACGAGTCACCACAACTCTTTGCTTGACTGTTTTCTCATATATAAAATTATGATAGTGAGCAAATCAAAAGATTTTTGCAGTATTTTTGAATTCTGAAATGTTACAATGACTTAATTTTTATAAGGAAAACAGAGCATGGTAAAATAGAGAATTGTTCAAAAAGAGTTGAGATTCTTCCGTTTGTCATATTTGAAGATAGCAATGTGGAGGTCTCTCTTTAAATTCACTATGGACAGAGACTTAAAAGTAGTACCAATCTGTTAACAATTCGGTTTGTAATCCTTCTCTGCCAGCCCATATACCCTGTGAGACAGAGAAAGCTATAGCTCCCAGCATCCTCAGCTACTTAGTCCTGGAGACCCACAGCCAGAAGAGGGCTCTGCCTGGTCTGAACACCCCTTGCTAATCTCCCCATCCTGAAATCTGAAGCCCTGGGAATGTCCTGCTCCTGAATAGCTGGGGCCTGGACTAATAGCCAAAGAACTCCTTGGGGGATCCCTATCAGCCACTGCTTGTCTCTTTATTGTTTAGGTGAAATGAGAAGCTTGGGGACAGAGCTCCCCCTTTCCAGGGGCCTTGTTGGAAGTGGGAATGAGTGAGGGAGGCAAGGGCAAGCCCCTTATTCCAAAGCCCAGGGAAAGGGAGAAGCATGGCTTTGTTCCCTCATCAGCATTAGAACCTATTTTGAAAGAGGAGCGAAGAGATTTGATCTTGGTTGAACTTTTCTAATATTCCCTGAAATGAATTGAGCAAATTGATTGAATCTGAGAAGTTCGAAGTCAGGGGATGCTCTAACTGCTCTGGGCAAATCTAGTAAAGAAAGAGGAGACGAGGCAAGCACTTCAAAGGGGAACAAAAACTGGACACCAGAGAGGAGGCAGGGGAGAGCTCTCCTAGTGGGCCAGCCTGAGCTGCGGCTTACAGCCGGATGACCATCCTCCCAAGGACAATATCAGGCTTGTCTATATGGGTGATGATTTGGAGGACAGAAGTTCTTTAATATAGGGCCTTAGCTAAGAAAGGAATTCCTTAGCACTCCTCCAAATGGACTTTTGCCTCATCTTTTTTCTCTCTCAAACCATTCACCATTCCTTCTTTTAGAATGTCAGAATTATTATCTATGGACTGTAATCTGTAATGTTTGTTTCAGCCCAGTCTCTATATAGAGAGAGCAAAGTAAAATGCTTATGATATGTCAGTGTAAGAAGAGTATAAAAGGAGAGTGGAGGTCCCACCTGGAGATGGAGATGGCCCTAGGTTTCACTCCCACAGTGGTACTGCTCATGCTCCCAAGATGGCAGCTGCCCCTCAATCCAAGATGGCGACTGCAATTTATTTCCACTAATTGCTGTCCTGCTGGAAAACCAGTTCTAACTCTTCAGTCATCTTGATTTTTCAAAGTAATCCAAGATATTAAAATGATATTTCTAAACTGGGCCACCAGGTTGGTTTGAACCACAAGGTCCGTAGTTCAAAACTCACCAGTCACTCCTTGGAAACCCTTTACAGGATGGTTAAGAGATGGAACCCACTCCACGGCACTTAACAACAACACCAACAAATTAAAATATGTGTGTGTACACTGCTTAACATCTACATTGTACTCTGTGAACTAGGATACTATGTGATTTGGATGTTGTTGCCACTGCTGCTGGAGCTGATGGCAGAGGCCAAAGGAATGAATAGAGGTTGTACAGGTGCCTGACAGGGAGGAGATGGGAGCCGAGCAAGAGGAAATGACCTGCGAGAGAGTGGAGTATGTCCAGCCCTGTCTGCTGCACCACCCACTTGGTGTGGTGCTGTGGGTTAATGCACTGGACTGTAAGACCAGTTTGAAGTGCAAGGTTAGTGGTCAAGCTCACCAGTCACTCCTCAAAAACTGTGTAGTGGGCCACTATGAGTCAGAACTTACTCAACAGGACTTAACAACAATAATAACTGTACATATATGGTTTGCCAAACCTAAGCCTGCAGGTCTCTAGTTCGCAATTCCTTTCAATCATCTTCCCACTCAATCATTGCATCAAAAGCATCATATATAAAGTTGTATCCATTACCTGAATTCAAAAGCTCTTGACACTCTCTACCTAGTGTCATCCTTTTCCCTTTTCCTTGTCAAGTCACTTTTTAAAAACAGAGTAATTTTATTCCTTTCTGCATACTTTCAGAGGGTACAGTTTGTGTTCAATAAATGTTTTCCCTCATATTCTTGAGAACCTAGTACCATGACTAGAGATTTGAGGCATGCAAAGAATGTGTTTATAAGAACAATAAAAATGGGTCTAGAATTAGAAACTCTGGAATTGGGTCATGCATTCTGGTTAAAAGAAGCAAATATCTAGGGTAACAACAAATACATTGGAGAATGAAGACTTTTTCTGATCTAAAGGTACTAAGTTGACCAGGGACTTGGAGACAGAGTGTGATGAATCTTAATAGACAAGTTGAAGAGTCCAGCCACTCTCATTGCCTCTCAAACTTTTACCCACATGCTGTATTGCAAAAGGAATACATTAGAAGGGGGCTTCAGAAACTGTGGGAAAATAGCCTTATCTTTTAAATCTATTTTCCACAAACGTTTTGAAGGCCCTGCATATAATTCTTGTGGGACTATGCACGTAGTCCAAAGTTGTTGTTGTTGGTAAATGCCATCAAGTCGGTTCCAACCCATAGCCATCCTGTATAGGGTTTCCAAGGAGCAGCTGGTGAGCTTGAACTGCCAACCTTGCAGTTCCAATGGCTTTGCAGTCTGGCACATTAACCCACAGCGCCACACCAAGACTCCTTAAAGTAGTGGGTCATTATTATTAGGTGCTGTCAAGCCTGTACTTACTCATAGCAACCCTATGCACAACAGTTAGAAACACTGACTGGTCCTGGGCCATCATCTCAATTGTTACAGCTGAGCCCATTCCCACTGCCAGTGTGTCATTCCATCATTTTGGGAGACTTCCTCTTTTTTGCTGACCATCCACCTTACCAAGCATGATGACCTTTCTACAGGAACTGGTCCCTCCTGAGAACACGTCCAAAGTATGAGAGACCAAGCCATGTTATCCTGGCATTTAAGGAGCATTCTGGCTGCACTTCTTCCAACACAGATTTGTTTGTTCTTCTAACAATCCATAGTACTTTCAACATTCTTTTCCAACCCTTTAGCTTAAATGCATCAATTATTCTATTGTTTACCTTATTTATTGTCCAATTTTCACATGGGCAATGAGTAAGATAAATAAGAAAATACCTTGGCTTAGGTCAGGCGTATCTCAGTCCTGGTATCTTTGCTCATGAACACTTTTAAGAGTTCTTGTGCAGCAGATTTACCTAGTACAATACACTGTTTGATTTCTTGACTTCTGCTTCCATGAGTGCTGATAGTTGATCCAAGCAAAACAAGTGGACAATTTCA